TAGTTTTATCAGTTTCCCTCTTTTTTTTTTTTAAGGAATATATTTCTTAGTTGTTTCCAATCAGATTATGTGTAAACTTTTTCGGTTTTTAGCTGAAATATCATTCTTTTTTTTTAATGATAATAGTTTGGCTGGTGTGAAAATGTTAGTTGTGTACTAATTCCACTGTCTACTGACAACAGTGGTTCCTGTTGATTTGTTTGCAGTTCATTTATAATTTCTTAATAATTTGCCTTTTATCTTAGGCTGCTTTTGTAATTTTTCTTATTAATATTTTTTCTTAAAGTCATTATGATAYATGTAAATATGGATAAATTTACAATTATATGACTTTAGATACACTGTTCTATGAATCTGAGGATTTGACAATTTTTAAATGTCTTAGCTATTATCTCTTCAAATGCTCACCCTGCCCTCGTTCTATTTATTTTGAAATCCTATTGGACATGTTGAAGCATTTGGGGTAATTTCTTTAMATGTAACTTGTAATGTATAACTTCATTAGGTTAATCAGGTTATAAAATGTCTTAACTCATCCATTAAATTTTTAGTTTAATGAGTATTTTCAAAATCTATCTATCATTTATCTATCTATCTATCTATCTATCATTTATCTTTCTATCCAAACTTTTTACCACACTAGACTCTGATTCTTGTGTTTTTTACTCTTTTTAAGACATTAAACATTAAAGTACACATTTAAAATTTTTTTTTAGTTGTAGATAGACACAATACTTTAGGTTATTTTTATGTGGTGCTGGGGATTGAACCCAGTGCCTCACACATGCTAGGCAAGCACTCTACCACTGAGCCCCAAGCCCCAGCCCTAAAGTATACATTTTGTCTCCTATTATTTGTCAGTTTGGGGGGATTTTATGTTATCTTGGTTCACTTTTATTCGTTGTGAATCATTTTCTATTATGTTCTGAACTTTGGAATCTGAGCTGATTTTCAGCAGGCCTTTCGTTGTGAAAACCCCAAGTGTCCTGTGTGAAGGGTGTTGGAGAGGAGTTTGTGTTTGCACCTCTTATGTAGTCCAGGAGTTTTCTTGATGATGAAGCGTTGACAGAAGTGTTCAGAGACTGCCGAGGTGGTGTCAATAGAAGTTGCGAACCCAAACACAGCACAAGTCTGGTTTGGGACTTTCCAGTCATTCAGAGGCCTCCCAAGGCAGACACAATCTTGTTGCCCACACCCCTGTGTCAATGTGAATGACTATTTGCTAATGTCCCTTTCATTAAGTTTCACAACTTTGAAGGTCTTCACTTTTTGTGGGATGTCAGCACTGATTTGCTCCTCATTTTCCATTGTCTGAGCCAAAGTCTCTGCTACTGTTTTTTGCTCTAGGCTTCCTTGACTTCTTTCTACCCCACCAATGTTGTTTTTTTCCCCCCTACCCAGCACAGCCACAGCAGCATCTTAGATGCGTACACAGTTTTCATCTCTGTGGTTGAGCCCTACTTTATTTTCTCTGGGCTCAGCTATATCTTTATAATTCATTTTGGAAAAAAAAATCATATTCCTTATCTTTCTGTCTGGAGTGAGAGTTTTCACAATATTCTCAGAACAGGAAATTCTTGTTTGTTGGCATGTTTTCGAAGCCACAATTACACCAATGAGAGTGATGCTGTGAAGTTCTGACTTATTTGGAAACAAMATACTAACAAAGATGAGAAGAATCCCAAATAAAGTGTCAGACTATTGCAACAAAAATGTCATAATAAAAAAAATCAACAAAGTGAGTTTTTTAAAAATTATTTAGAAGTGACATAAAGAGTTACCTGAGGATTGACAGAGATTCTGCTGAAAATCCTTTACTTTGTTCCTTTGCCCCAATCATTTCAAATAGTTTTAGGTCTAGGGCTACTCTCCCTAATGCCGCAGTAATGTAAATCTACCAATAGATGGAATTAATATTCTCACTCTAAGGCCTGCCTTTGAATAGTTAGCTATCATTTTTGTGTATCACTTGTTTTGTGCTGATCTGATAAATATAGCTGATTTATAAAAAGTAAATCAACTGAGACTCTCAAAGTGATCTACTCTTTATSCAAGGTCATTCAGAGTACTCTCAGGGGAAAAAAGATATCCCCTGAAGTAGAACTCTAATTACTTTGAAGTTAAAAATAAAATAGATGACACTGTTTGAATATAATGGGCAATTTTTATTATTATTTCACATATTTATCTTTAACACTTGCAGAGTATTCTGAAACCATTTTTAAGGTTATTAACACTGTTGATCTTATTAAGGAAAGTAATAAGATAAATACAATGCGMAATCATATTTTAATTTCATTGCTAATGTTTCAATAAAGCATTTCACTGATTAGACTGTGTTAACTGGTAATTGGGATTAAAGTATAAATGGAGGAACCCAATTATATAACTAATATATATCTCTAATAATTAAATATTAATCTATTATATCTAATGATATGTTAAAATATATAGTAATCATTATATAAACAAATATATAATGATTATATATAAATTTATAAAAATATATAAATRAATATATTTTAGAGATGTTTGTTAAAAAACAAACAAATATGCCATAGTTCTAACTGGTTCTCATGGCTTTGAAAAGGACACTGACATTTTTATAGAAGCRTTTATTCTTTTTTAAATGACATACAATTATTATCTGTCAATAAAAATATTTTTTTAAAATGATCCTCTTTTCTTTCCTGACTACTAAATTAAAAGTATGGTTCATCTAACCCAAGTACCTGCTACTTCTCTTCTCTGGTTAATAATCATCTTCTATCCTGACTCTTTAACTGGAAAACTTGAGAACATACTGATGGTATGGAATATTTCTCTGACAGTTCACAGTAATTAAACCTTGGATCACTGATTTTTTAATTCCCTTAAGTGCTGGCCCATGAGCCTTAACTCCATTCTCAACAGCCTTGAACGCAGGATTCCTTAACTCCTCCATTACTTTCACTTTCATTCATTGCTGTATTCTACAAGTGCAGAGGAGAAGGGAAGAAAATTCATTTATTCTGTGCAGCCAGAATAAATGTCTGTCACCACTTTGCCTAATGTAGACCAACCTCTGAGATTTCCTTATTTCTAAACACTCCACAAAGGACATTTGTAACAATGGTGGAGCTGAAGTAAAATTAGGTTTGATAATTGCAGCAGGCATGTAGTCATATGTAAGAGCTCTAAATGTCTGTGAATCTTTACAATAATACTAGTGGCTGAGGTAGTACTATCATCATCATTCTGAGGATGGTGCTGAGCTTTGGAGAGATTGAATTATCTKATCAAGGTGACATTGCTAATACGTAGCAAAAGTCAGACTTGAACCTTGGTTTAAAAGACACCAAAATCTCCTTTTAACTAGCATGYAAGACTAAATTCCATGAGACAAGGAGATCTGTCTGCTATTCCTAGTACAATTCCTTCCACTTCTTGGGTGTTTGATAAGTATTTGTTGAATGAATGAAAAAAAAACTGAGCTGGAAAAAAATTCATTATGTTTAATATAAAAAGTTTCATTTTCATTAGTCCTATCATTAGGGAAGAAGAAAAATTTGCTGTTCTTTGAGAATGTGTATGATTTTAACTTGGCACTTTTCAGTTTAGTTTGCAATCCAGTTTCATGCTCCTTTTTATTTCCTCCCTAGCTGACTGCTCTACCATTAGAGTAAGCTGTCATGGATATTAGTGCTTTGATTAAGATTTTGGATTGTTAAAGGTCACAAGCATTACAATTTAAATTCAATTARATGTTAGCTTTTTCTTTTAATTAAAGTCTTTACTGAATAGTAAAAAAAAGACTGTCTTTTAAAATATGCMATATCAGGGCAAAGCACAAAGAAGTTAAACACTGGGATACAGTTAGTTTTCTTTCTTAAATACAAATTCATAATGGGTCTGCTACTGCTGAACATAATGCTGCAACCTTGTTCTGCCATCAGTCTAATGCATCTCTTAGGTAATCCTGGATTAGTGTACCTAGAGCCCAACGACCTTGCAGCTTGCAGTGTGCTGGCTTTGGGCCCTGAGGGAAATTCATTAGACTGTTCCAGGACTTCCCTACTTAGCTAATATGAATCATCTGAAGATCATTAGAGGAAATTCTCTGGTTTTTGCTTTTAAGAGGTTTGTTGTTAGTTACTTTTCATTTCTTTCTTTTTAACCTTTTGGACAAGAAGAAAAGGGGAAAATTCGTAGTTTTTAAGTTTTTTTTTTTTTTTCTAGTTTAAATGAAAACCTTGCTAYTGTTTTATGTTTTCCAAGTAGGGTGTTTTCTGCCAGTCCATTTCAAAGCCTAGGACCGAGAAGTCCTCTCCTCTTCTAGTGCCTTTAGAAGTGCTCCTCTTCTGAGCAATAGTTATCCAGACTTAATTTTAATCATCAATATGGAAAACCATGTTTCCCCTCAATTGATCTATCAAGATATCAGCTTATGCATAGAACTGCCAGTGGAGTCAATGGGTTCCTGAAATAATTCAAGTTTTAGTCCAAGTATATCAGGACAGAAATCAAAACACATGTAAGTAGTATCCAATGCTTTGCAACAGCTGTGCAGTGATTTCTTCAATGGGCTCCCTTAAAACTTAACCAAATTTTAAAATAACACTGCAYCCTTCTCCAGATCACACAGTCTTGAATTTTCAGCCTTTCCTCATAGGATTTATTTCCTAATCCTTATTCGGAAGCATCACTTCATTTCCATTTTCCTCTAATTTGAGGATCCTAGAAGTGCTTATGCCAATCAAACAGAATAAGTATTTGAATACAAGGTGAATTTCTTCTTTACAACTCTACAATTCTGCTGATCTGTGTAAATGGTTTTCCAAAATACTTTGGGAGCTTACTAGAAGGACACTCAGGAAAAACTTAGGAGGACTATATCACCGTCATATCCTTGTGAACTGAAATATAACTATTCTCTTTCTTCCCTCTTCTTCCTTTTCTCTTGCTGCCTTTCTTTCTTGCTCTCTCACCTCCTGCTCCTCATTCCCTCCTACCCTATCCAGGGTCCCCGTGGTCCTGAGGGAGCACCAGGAGAGAGGGGCTTACCTGGAGAAGGATTTCCAGGACCTAAGGTAATAAAAGCTTCTGAACTAGGAAAAAAAAAAAAAAAAACCCACAGCACTTTGTCCTGCATAGTCATGAATCACAGATTTTTTAAAACACTGATTATTAGAAGTTAAGTATTTCCTGACTATTTGCACTGTATTGTGTGAAGGAATTTGTCAATTTTCTTTTAATGTAAAAGTATGGTGAAATATTTAATTATAAAATAAGTCAYCAACAGATTTCTATTTCATGTAATTACCACATATGAAATTAGAAACTCTCAGTTTGCAGTCATTAACGCTCCAGTGATAAATAGCACAYTGATGCCCAGAAGTCAAGTTATTCAGTGTAGCTATGGCAACACTGCTCACAGCTTTGTTTTATGAAACACAGATAGGATACAAAAATCTAATACATCAATTTATACTGCCATCAAAATCATAAGAAAACTGATTTTTTTACTACAAGGACCAAACTATTATGGATTCAAACTTTCCTACTGCTTCCCACATATAATTCTTAGAGCTCAAGTTCCTCTGCACCAGGGCACGTCAAACTTCTGTAAAGGGCTGGATGGCAAATATTTTAGGCTTTGTAAGACATATGATATCAGTTGCAATGACTCAACTGTGCTGTTGCTGCATGGAAATAGCCATAACAACGTATCAATGAATGAATCTGGCTGCTGCAACAAAACTGTGTTTACAAAAAGCCGGCTATGGGATTTGGCCAGTGGGCTGTAGTTTGCTGTCCTGTTGTCTAGGTGGTTTACCCATATCTATAACACATCTGCCAAACACCACATAGGAAATGGTTCTCCAAAATACGTTGGGCACTATTTAAAAAATTTCACAGCAAACAATAATGTATTTCTGGGTTGTTGCTTCATTTCTAAAGTCTTCCCCGCCCCCCACATAGACACACACCCACACAGCCCAGAGAACCATATGTTGCTTTCTCAGACYCTGCACAACAGTTATTCGGTCAGGTCACTCAGATCTGACCTTCTCAATATGGCCTCATACTCTAAAATTATATCTCATTCTCAGATTCTTTCATTATGATCAATACTCAGTTGTCTCTGAGAAACCCAAATATCAAAAGAGGAAAAAGCAATTGCTGTAACAAATAATTCATACTATGTTGTGAGCTGAATTTTGAAGAGGACCTTGTTAAGACATTAAAGTTGCCACAATAATGTTAGTAATATTTTGGATAAATATGATATTTCATAACTAAAGTATCATTCTTAGAAAACAGGTCAAAGACTTAGAACTACATTTTAGAAAGTTTTATGATACATAGTTTCATTACATTTTTGGCACATTATAAATGTCTTTTTTTATGTGCAGCCCAAACAATCCGGAAAATTCAAATTGTGAAAATTATTTATCTTTATAATGTCTGTGTGTTTGTGTTAAAGATAAAGAAACAAATGAGGGCTGGGTGTGGTGCTGAACACCTGTAATCCCAGTGCCTTGGGAGGCTGAGACAGAAGGATCACAAATTCAAAGCCAGCCTCAGCAAAAAGCAAGGTGTTAAGCAACTCAGTGAGACTCTTATCTCTAAATAAAATGCAAAATAGGGTTGGGGATGTGGCTCAGTGGTCAAGTGGCCCTGAGTTCAATCTCTAGTACAAAAACAAAACAAAACAAAACAAAAACCCCACAAACCTCAAAAACAAAACAAAACAAAACAAAACAACAACAAACAAATAAGAAATGAATATGTGAAACACTAAGAAGTATATTCCAGGGAATGCCTTAGTGACGTGTTCAACATACTTTTATGTTAAATGAGGTATGATATGATGATACAATCTTTATAATAACCCCAGGCTCTACATTGGCCTCTGTTTCAACAAGGAAAGAACACATGGTTTTCAGTGTTTCCTTAGGGTCAAGTACATGGGACTTTGCTCTGTGGTAATGATCAGAAGAACCCACCAGTCAGAGCACTTCATTCCCCAGCCAGGCAGACCTGTTGACTCAGTCAGTGAATAAATTATGGATAGAAATATATAGCTGTATTTTCCTTTTTCTTAGGTTTCTTAAAAATGTTCTTTGATTTTATTCTTGGTTCTAATGAACTTATTAAATGAATRTTGTTTCTGATTGACATGGTTTATTTTTTATAACAAAGGCATGAAGTGCTATGACTTCATAGATATAGTAAGAACAGCTGTTCACAGAGATCATTTGATCATAGAAGCAAATACAAGGTTTTCCATGAAGCCTTCTAAACCTAGATTTTCAATGAATGTCTCTGTAAGTTCAGATATAAAACATTTAATAAGTAATCCAATCTTGYGAGTATTGGTTCACATATATGAGAGACAAATTTTCTTGTACCATGGATCCAAGTGTAGCCATGTTAAGGAATAGGAGGCTTKATCCAGGTAGTTGTACCTCATGATTAATTGATTAGGTTCCTGGTTTCAGTATTTCTATTGAGATTGGAAATTGAGCTCTTTTCCAATTTCAGCAATGCTATATATGTATTCTGCTGGGACAGACTCCTTCCTGTGAAAATGATATGACTAATTTTTTTTTGCAAGTTGCAAATCTTAGAGTCAGTTAGAATTACTCATTCACAGTGGGCAGTGAATTTGGATACTTGATTGAAAAAATCAATTTGAAGTATAATTCATAGTAACTTTAATGTAAATCTTGTAAAATAATTTTTATCAATGCGCTGATATCTCTTCCATGCACTTTCAGGGTGAAAAGGGTTCTGAAGGACCAATTGGCCCACAAGGGTTACAAGGCCTGTCAATCAAAGGGGACAAGGTACTGTATACAAGGTGTATAAWGGAAACAATGCCAGTAAAATTATTTTTGTCATTGCTTTTAATGAGTGTACACTTTAAAACCAAATATAACATGACAATCATGACACATAGGTATTCAATTAATTATAAATCTTGTCTATGCAAGGTATATTTATTATATTGGATGAATTATGATCTGGGAAGTCCCATTATTTAGAGTAATGTGTCACTTATTTGGTTTCTAACTTCCTGTGACTTCAGTCATCAGCAAAACATCTTTGAAGACAGACATTAGCAAAAAAAACACCTGTCCTTAGTGTAATAGAAAATAGTTGTTAAAAACATTTTGGCCTCATTACAGTCCATCTCTACCTTCAGGCATTCATTCAAAAATATTAAAATAATAGAACTCATTTAAGAAAACTAGTGTTGATACCCTATAGCAAGAAACAATAGGAGTCCACCTTTAGTTAAACAAAGGTTTACTGACTCATTGCAACATGGAAACCATAAACCCTGGGGGACCAACTGCAACTAGGAAGGAAGAAGAAGAGATTTTTTTTATAGAACTTGGGTTTGTGTTGGGTGACTTTTGGGAACTTTCAAGATAGCATAGGTKGCTTTGCATTGAATGCTACCAGAAAGTGGGAATAATTTTAAGGTTGAGTATTTTAATGAGTCTCATCTARAAATTGGGAAAAATGGTGTTAGGTTGAGATGTAATAGTCAAAGAAGTAGCAGCAACTCGTTTCAGCTAGTGCAGGAGGTTGTTTGGCCACTTCTAGGGATTTGGACAGTGTTTGTGGTTTTTCTGTGCTCAGACATGAGTACAGAGCAGTCTTGCTTTTGTCTTGGTCTGTCGCTTTGATGAACTTGTTTATGTTCAGCACTGCAGCCCAGCTGCCAGGGTCAGGTCAGCTCCAGGCCATCAGACGTTGCTTTACTCTTTAGCATTAGTTACTCATTTTCTTTAAAATATCTGAAGATCATGACCCTAATTAGAAGGGGTGGTGAGGCTGGTGATAGAAGTTACTGCAAGCTGCTCAGATTCTAAAGAGYAGTGGGAAGTGAAAGTTGTCAAGGGGAGCAGACAGAAGATATGTGCAAAAACCAGAGACCTCATATCAATTTGGAGTCATTTATATGCCAACCATTAAGCACACATTATATTATTTATTAAATTAGAGTAATAACTGATACTCATGATTATCCTCAATCTTGAAATGACTTATTCCTTTTATTTTCTGGTAGTTATTTCTTCTGGTTGTCTGTATTTGAATAGCAGAGATAATGATAAGTAATGGATCATATAAATTTTAGATGCAATACAATTCTTGCTTCAAAGAGCTCAGCTCTGGTTGTAACTGCAGTTCCAAAATACTTCCAAAATATGTAAGATGTTCTTTTTTCTTTGGGGGCAGTGAGAACTAAATACAATAGAACCATTGTTTTGTGAGTTCAGTAAATTAACTTTTTCAAGGGTTGTTGTGACATGGCATTTGTGTTTTTACATCTGGAGCTCATGCAAAGAAAACGCTTTGCATAAAAAGCTTTTATTTGCTATCCCCTTTCTAAATCAATACTATCTTCTCTTTCCTTTCCCCCTTTCTTCCTCTCCTACTCTTTTAGGTGCAGCATTAGATTCAAAGACTTTGGTGTGATTCAAGCGATGACATAAACACCCTATGATGAGGGCTCACAAATACATATATTTGCAACAAAACAAAAAATTTAGTTATGACACAGACTTTAATTGTAAAAAAAAACTGTACAAAAGGATATAATTTTCATGTGTTTATTGAATACATGCAGAATGGTGGTTATGAGTTGGGTTGAGGAGTGAGACAGAGTGTAGATTTGAATCTCATGTCTGCCACTTAATCCGTATGTGACCTGGAGCAAATTACTTAAGGTCATTTGGAAAATGGTGATGCCCACCATAGAGAGTTATTGGGAGGATTAGTGAGAAAAATCATGAAAAGCATTTAGCACAATGACTCTTGCATAATGAACAATCAAGTACTGAATCAGAATAATCGGATTCTGGATCAGAACTTGAGTCCATAATATTTTCCTTATTTATTTAGACCAAGGCGGACAATATACTAAGAAGTATGTTCCAGAGTGTGTCTTGGTACAAGTTTAATATAGTTCAATATTATTTATATAAAGTATGAGTAGTATTTACTTTTGTTCATAAAAACATATTTACATAGCCTCAGCTGCCTGTCTTTCTATGACAACATTATTGGAACATAAGCACATCTGCTGCTTTGTGTATTGTTTATGGCTGATTTCACACTCTCAAAGCAGCATTGATCAGTTACAAAAGAGACCTAATTTTTGTCCTCAGGCCCCAAACATTATCACCCCACCGTTTAAGAAAAAGGTTGCTGACCTGAAGTTGTCTAAATATAGTTGCCATTGAAATAAGTGGTCAGTTCTCAGTTGTCATTTGACTTGATCTATCAGTACCCTTACTTGCTCCCTCACCTTCTTAAAACCCTCTTTTGGCTTGGTCTCTCTGGCTCTCCTTCTCAGTCTCTACTGCTGTTTCYGGTTCATTCCTCTGACCTCTAATGACTGGAGAGATTAAAGGACTCAGTCCTTGGACCTTCTCTTTTTTTCAACTCTTGGTGATGTCACCCAGTCACACCGCTCAGAGAAGAGCAAGAACAAGTACCATTGTCTCACAGGACTTATTGATCCTTCTGCCTGGCCACTCCATGTATCACCTACCACTCTCCCTCATGGTCCCCATCTCCACCCATACAGTCTCCTTGCCGTTTCTGAAATGTACAGGGATCATCCTTATGCTGGCTGTGTGCTCTGCCTGGAATGCTCTTTCTCCAGGTTTCTACCTGGCTCATTCCTTGTCATCAGTGAGGCCATCTGGGTTCATTTTCCAATTGTTACTGCCACGCCATTTTCTCAATTCGTTTTTCCCCTACAGACTGATCATTATTCAATGTAGCATTTATTTTATCTACTTGTCTTGCTTATTGTCTTCTGTTTCCTTTACTAATATTGTAAGCTCTGGTAAAGACAGAATTTATTTCATGGGAGTAGAAGGTAGGGTTCTTTAATTTTGTAGGCTTCACCTTAGATTTTTCTTAATTTCAAAATTGAAATACTAAGAAGTACATTCCAGAGTGCGTCTTCACACAAGTTTAATATAGTTCAATATTATATAAAGTATGAGTACTATTTACTTTTGTTCTTTTAATAAGATTTGGAGAGGAAAGTTACTTAGAAAAATTTAAAATATCTTCTTCGATTCATCTTTCAAATTCCAGTTGTCTTATACCCCAAGAATTTTAAACTCTTAAATATTTATGTTATGGTCCTAACAGGAAGTTTTTGTATTATTATGATAACTATTCAGAAATTCTGGTTGTGAGAAACATGTTTTCTAAATATAAACCCATGCACATACCAACCAGTTTAGACAAAATAGTGAAAATGTCATTCACTGTTTTGGCAAATTTGATCTAGAGATCATCAAAAGCAATGAGGTCTTATGATTTTACTTGTTGATTTTTTTGAAGTATAAATAATCAATCCTTAATTCAGATTGGAAAGCATAAAAGAAGGAGGTTTTATTTATTGTTGTACTTCTGACGTTTTCTATACAGGGAGATTTGGGACCTGTGGGACCTCAAGGACCAATGGGCATCCCGGGCACTGGGAGTCAAGGAGAACAGGTAACTGATGCTTGTTTTCATTCTCATGGTACCAAGCATTCCAGCCCAATCCTGGTGTTCATTGAAGGCCAATCCTGCAAACATCTATGAGTACATTTGACAGTCAAATTGCAATGAAATATATGTTAAGTCCAGAAATGAATGTAGAAGGAGAGTGTCATGGAAACATTTTCGTTTAATAACTTTCCAAGACTCAAATATAAATTTTATACTTCTTGGTGCTTTGACTTTTATCACTAAAACCTAATTAACCAGGGTATGAGTTTGGAAGTAACACTTTATATTTTTAGTTCCCCTTGGGAGAGCAGTCGTCTACTTACGTGTCAGTTTGAATGTTATTTCCCCTCAAAACTTTGTGATTATGTCCCACTCGGTCCCAATGCCAGGGGAGAACTTCCCACCCTTATCTACACACCAAACTAAAAATGGTATTAAACTTAAAATAAGGACCAGAATTGGAAGTGATCAATTTATTTAAGTGGCATCCTTCTTGGATATAAGCAATCTACAAGTAGGATTTTATAAAAGTCACCTGGCCCCTTTTGGTCAGAAGAAAGGAAAGACCTCTGCTTCTACGATCTGGTAACTTTTAGAAAAACTGGATAATTGTCTAAATAATGTGAAAATAGTATAACAGTAATTTTACTATTATTATTTACCATACACTTTGAAAATTAAAAAWAATAGTGTGTTATATGTCATAGTGGGGTTCATTTTGACATACTCATAAATGCATGTCACATAGTTTTACCATATGCATTTATCTACATATCTCATTTAATAAAATGTCAGTAGCAAATACAGATTTATCACCCAGGTTAAAAAGTGACAAGTTGGTTTGATGAAAATTTATGGTTAAGATTTGGATTATCCTGTGGCCTAGAGCATGAATACTGCTTCTTTTATCGAGGGTATTATGGAAAGAAGAAAACCTTGAGACAATTCCAAATCTCACTAGACATTTAGCTGTGAGTTTGTTTCTAACCATCTGCTAACTTGTTATTATTATTACATATTTTTGTCAAACCAGGCAACAGTGAAGTTGGCTATTACTCCTCTTTCCATTTCCTTGCTCTTGGCTGTGTTAAGAGGATTAAGGTGCAGAAGAAGCCAAGATAAATCTGTAAATAAATATTTAGATAATAATTAAGAGTTGAGTGTTTTGACTCCTGCAGGATCCTGAATTGACTCTTCCATCAGGCCTTCTCAGGATTTCTAGTGTATTTTCTGGGTTCATCAGGGCTCACATTCTGGTCCTGAAAGCTGCCTGATGGCACTGCCACATCCTGTGTCTTATGCTGAGTTACCACTCTGGTGGAGAATGAGGTTCAAAGAGAGACGGGTCTGTCCAGATGGCCAGTGGATCCCAGCCCGCCCACCTGTGGCTTCCTGTTTCCTTTAATGCTGGTCCTTGATGGAGTTTGTTGCAGCTTAAAAAGCAAACAAACAAACAAACAAACAAAAAACTCAAGCCTCCTTGACTTCCTTCATTTTCTTCTCCAAGAGAAAAAAAAAGACAATTTTTGAGTAAAAATGTCCTTATAGAATTGACCCCTAATGGATAGGAAGCAAATGGAATGTATTCTTTGTAAACTGCTTTAAACAAGAATTTATTTACCCCATTAAGATAAATGACATAAATTCTACTTAAATTTAACCTGTGTATGCAGTTATTCAACTTTCTTCTTATCCTTAATTTAACAAGTTTATCCATTGAATTATTGTGATTATTATTTCTCCCAATGTCACTTGTAGAAATGAGTTTTCCTACTCATCTGTTTACGAGTGAACTTCTGTTTCCATCATCATGTTTACAATTTTTTTAAATGACCTCCAGATTTTCACTAAATATTTGGAGGCTTGATAGCTTCAGATGTTTTACAAAATAAAGTGGAATATAAATAACCACATACACGCATGTACATCTACACATGGCACATCCTGTAATTTTTTTTGTCCTATTTGTATGCAACTTGTGGACTACTGTAAAAGTCAGAAAGGGTTATGTTTTGTCACCAGTCAATATTGACAGTGCAACAACCTTAACTTCCCTAAATTGTTTGGGCTGCTTACCTTTGTCAACCAGAGAAAAAAGGGACTAGTATTTGTATTTTTAAAATGAAAAAGCAGTGGTATCATCTAAGGAAAAAAGGGAATAACATCCATTACATTATGACTGTATAAAATAAACATTATTTGTGGGATATAAGCAAAACAGATTTTTTTTTCTCTCTCGTCATTCTTTAATGTTTTTTCACCCCCTAAAATAGGGGACTCTTTCTGTCTTGAAAGAAATTTCCAACAGACTCTAAACTTTAAAAAATAAACAAATCACTTTTAAGTAATAGAAAGTTGTAGGGTCATTGCAAGTTGCCAGTCTCAGATTTAATTCTGTAACAAAAAGTGTTCAGTCAATATGTTAACTTTGCTTTTAGTCTTCATTATCTGGTACCATCTGTAGGGAGGGAGTGTTTCTCAGTTCTCTGGGGCTGAGCCAGGGAGGAGGCTGGGTGTGAGGGCCTGAGGACTCTTTCTTGTTTGGTGCTATAGCAGGTGGCTTTGGGTACTCAGAGCTTTGCAGATGTGTGAAGCTGACCTCTTCCTTGTGGGGCTCCTTCATGGGTCTCTTTGACTGTCCCTTCTAGGGTGTGATGAAGAGTCCCTTCCTGCAGCTGCTCGTCCCTCTCTGCCTCTGCTTTACTGGGGACTTTCTCTGTTGGAGTTCTGTTATCCTTCCATGTCTCTTGGGCAAGACTGATAATAGTTCCAGGCCAACTCTGTCTCACACTTAGCATACAATTTCTTTGCAGGGACATCTCATGTGACTTTTGCCCTGGTAGACTCTGGATCCACAGATGGCCCCTGGCTTCTTTTGGCGACCACAGGCCATCTTAGCTTTCTCAAGCTTGAGTTGGATTCTGGCCCCTTGGTTCCCCAAAACAAAAATCAAATTATACAAGTAAGAAATATCCACTGAAGTCCTCTTTCTAGACTAAAAAAAGAGGTAACTCAAACCCCTTCCATTTTCTTAAAAAAAAAAAAAAAAGCCCTCCTTATAATCTAGACTACTGGAGAACTTTACAAGTCCTCTCTTCCTCCCATCTGCAGTGTGAGGGAGAGAATCAGTCTGGTCATTCTTCATTGTGGCGTCTGCTGGCTTGTTGCTTCTTAGAGCTCAGATCAAACTTTCAATTTAACATCTCAATAAACAGTCTGTCCAAGAAGGGGTATAGGGTTTGCTTGCATGTGACAGAGATATGAATTGGGTCAACAATTTGATGAAATTATACTTTTCTTATTTAAAATTCGAAGCTGGCCTGGTGATTCTCCATCAGTGTTGTTAGGGGTTCAGGCTGTTCTCTTCTGCTAGTCTGCCATCCCATCTAGGGTTCAACTAGAAGCCCTTGCCACTCCATTCAAAAAAACGTTTATGTCATATATATTATCTATTATGGAATGAGAACTAAATGATCGTGTTAGAGGACTTGAAACTGTTCTTACCCAAATATCTTCTTGATTTCATTAATAACATTCTTAAAATTTTTATTTCAAAGGGAATCCAAGGTCCTACTGGTCCCCCTGGTCCACAAGGACCCCCAGGACAAGGATTACCTGGTTCTAAGGTAACTTTCTAAATGACAGCAGAGTTTATCTATAGTAGAATTGCTGTTTTCTGGTCAATGTTATTTGGAAGAGAACAGATAGAGTGAACTTAGAAATCAGAGATCTTTATACCAAATATTACTGATATTCCTAACAATTTATAAATTGTAATATATATTCTTTATGCTTTAAGAAGGTTTTACTTACACAGACTTATTTATATTCTTTGATATTTTTGGGTAATAGACCGTATTCTGGCAACGCAAACTGTAATGTCAGTAGACCGTGGCCTGTGGTTCCAGGCCTCTCTGGGTTTTGGCTAATTGGTTTTCTCATAAGCACTCCCCCAGGAGTGCTGTTAAGGAGACAGTCAAAAATGAGCTGAATGGAGCCATTACTTATCATTCTGCAATATATTTATACTTAGCCTTATGTTCTATTTGTGTTTTTATATACCTCTGATTCCATGAACATTGTTATCAAGTTACCTCTTTATTTGTAACTGTTATTTATCTCTGGAGGAAAGGCATGCCACTTATTATTTAGCTAACTACTTTTAATGTTGTTTCAAGGAATCACTAATCATGGTTAAATAAACAAAATGCTTCCCAGAGACTTCTCACCTGAGAGTATACTTCTTACAGCTGTCCATATGAGAAGTAGCTCCATAGAAAACTACTGCTTTCCTTGTGGTTTTTATTGAAGGCTTATCATTGAAAACTAAGGTTGCTTTCTCTGGTTATGATATTGCTCTTGATCAGACAGACATCATCTTGGCTTTCAATGTGTCCGTTTTAGTTGTTCTAGAATGTAACTGCCTATCTTTTCTAGGTGCCTCCACAGGAGCTCTTAACCAATTGTGAACATACTACATACCCTATATTTTAAGTCGGTCCACATTTATATGTTCCAAATATGATAAAAATCCATCTGGCCTAGAGGATCCCAGGCCATACATGTATGAATTAAGCACATGAAACTATTTTATCTCACTTTGTTGAAAGAAGACAACTCTTAGGAGATCAAAGTCAGGGATATGTTGTTTTTATTTTGCTGCAATATTTCAGTACTCTTTCCTTACCAGGGAGAAGTAGGCCCCATGGGACCTACAGGCCCTAGAGGACCAGTGGGGATTGGAGCGCAAGGTCCAAAGGTGAGTTGATTCTGCTGTTCAGATGCTATTAAGAAAGTTATGTAACATTAAACCTTCCTTTATGTCCAATTGCAATACAGATCAGCATGTGCCATCTATCTAACTTGATATAACTTAAAATGTGGCTAATAGAATAATTCTGATTATATACATGGCTTGCTTGATAATTGGTATTATACAGTGCCATTCCAAAAGAAATGCTTCACTTGGGGCAGGAGACTTGTTTATCTTGTTGATTATTGAACACCCAGTTTTGAGGTCATGATAGGCACTCAATAAATACTACTGAAGAAAAGGATGCACCCTTCACAAGTTCTGTAACTCATTCTCAAAGTGTGTAGGGTCTGATGAGCCAGGCCGAGCACTACACTTCACCCTTGTTCTGCTGTCATTGCTGTGATTCCTATAAACATTTGGGTATTAGAAGAATATATAAGGTAACCCRGGCATGGTGGCTTATGCCTGTAATCCCAGTGGCTCGGGAGGCTGAGGCAGGAGAACCTCGAGTTCAAATCCAGCCTCAGCAAAGCGAGGTGCTAAGCAACTCAGTGAGACCCTGTCTCTAAATAAAATACAAAATAGGGCTGGGGAKGTGGCTCAGTGATTGAGTGCCCCTGAGTTCAATCCCTGGTACTACCCTCCCACCAAAAAGAAAAGAATATGTAAGTTGAGGGTCTAGGAATAATTGACATGTTATATGTGTAATTATAAAGAAAAAAACATATTAAATAGCATAATAGCTACAGTTTTGTATGGTGTTGATGTGCTACCTAATATGCTAACTGTATGACATATGTACATGCACATTATGTCATTTATATATTAATTCCAGAGAGGCAGTCTACAATATAGCAAGGCTAAGCCTTACCACCTAAATTCAAATCCCGGTTTTGTCACTTACAAATTGTGCAGCCTTAAGTTTCTCTCATTTTAAAAAAGAAAATATTTCAAATATGCTCACCAGTACACATAATAATACAAAGAATGCACATGTATTCCACTGCCCAGCTTCATCAAATGATAACATTTTGCCGGGTTGACTCAAAATTCAGTTTTAAAGAAGCACTACAGATAAAGCAGAGACACAGGCTCCACCCTGTCTGAGGGCCTTTGCTCTGCCTCCCCTCCCCAGACATACCCCTATCGTGACTTTGGTGTTTATCATTCCTTCAAATTTTTCTAGTTCCCCACATGTGTTTTTATACATAAACCACATATTACTATTTTGTGTTCTTAAACTATACGTATCCTTCTTCAATATAGTTATACTTAGTCTTGTGTGTTTTATTAGTACTTTTATATGCCTATAATCAATTAATTCATTTTTATTGCTCTATACTATTCTATTGTGTGAAAAATCTCATTTTATGTTTACCCATTTGTTGATGGATATTTGAATTGCCTCTCATTTTTTTGCTTTTGTCAACCATGCTCCATTGACATTGTTCTCTTTTGTATAAGTTAGAGTCCAAGTTTCCCTCACTTATGGAAGATAGAGGTAGGACTGGAAGACTGCACAGTATGCCAGTCTTCAACTTTGCTTTGCCAAAGTCCTGTTCAACAGGGGTGCCACACCATGYTCCTGCTAGCAACAGGCAGTGACTTCAGCACAAAATGTGTAAAATATATCTCATTGTTTTAGTTTTTATTCCCTGTTACTAAATGAACAGTTTTTCATGTGCTTAATGGACCTCTAGCTTTTCTCTTTGTAAATTGCTATATTCATTATTTTTTTGAGGTTAGGTTTTTTTTTTTCTTGTTAGAGTTCTTTATCTGGATGTTATTCTTTTGTTATATGGGTTGCAAATATCTTCTCCTAGGCTGGGGCTTGCATTTCCAGTTTGGGGTATCTTTTAGTGTATGGAAGTTTTACATTTCTATCACCTTCTGACTTCTGCTTTAAAAATATTATTTAAAAAGTATTTATTGGCCTTATAGCCATAAAGATATTCCTGTGTTTCTGAATATTTTTTAGTATCTTTTAAAAAAAATTTAGTCTTAAATCCACATGGAATCTGTTTTTGTGTATGGGCTAATGTAGGATCTATTTTTTTTCCCTCACATTGATAACAAGGTGTTCATGCTTCAGTTCTTGAATAAACCATCTTGGTCACACTGATTTGTAATGCCATCATGTTCTATGTCAGGATTCTGTATTTGTGAGGAGCGGTGCCTGAGTGGCCTATGATGCTTTCTTTGTATATCTCTCTCAGTGCTACTTCCTGCTATTAACCATGACAGATTAAAAATAAGTTTTGCATTTGATGGGAAAAATACTCACATCATCTTCTTTCTTGCTTATTATCTATSGATTCTATGTATATTAGGATTAGATTGCAAAATTTAATAAAATGTCCCCTTAGGATAGCATTGAATCTAGAGATCAAATATTGAAACTTTCAAACTACAAGGTAAAATTCAGATTTTTAGGAAAATATTTTATCATTTTCTCCAGAGATTTCATAACTTGTACTTCTTTTGTGAAAATTATTCTCAGATATCCTGGAAAAATGTTTGCAATTGGAATTTTTCTCTTTTTCTGTATCTTCTAGTTATTAGGGATCTATAGGAAAAGTTTTTAATTTGTTTGGTATTAGTTTTGGTATGTTGATTTTTAAATCTATTCACCATGTGAAATCACTTATTCTAATTGTAGAGTCTCTTGCTTTTTTATTTAACACTGTGTGTACATGATCATGTTGTCTGAAGTTGAAAACAATTTTTCTTTCTTAGTCCTTCTTTCTCTTATTTATTTTTATATTTATTTTTTCTTATTTATTTATTATAGTGCTAGGATCTTAGGTAAATTGTTGAAATGAAGTAACCTCAAAGGAAGTGCTTCTAAAGTGGCACTCTTGTTTGCTGTAGTTTTGGGGATATACCCTCTATTAGGTCAATGAAATTCTCTTTTATTTCAACCATACCAAATGCTGTTTACTAATTTTAAATGAATACTAAATTTTATCAAATTCTCCATATCCTTAAATAATTGTATCTTTTTTTCCCTTTTAACCTATTGAACTGATACATTAACAGAGTTTTTAGATGTTGAATAATCCTTGTACTTTTGATTTAAATCTAATTGATCATAAGTATACTCTTTCATGATGATAATTCAATTGACKAATATTTTATTCAGGATTTTGCATACATTTAAAATGACTATTATATGATTAGCATATAATAACTATACATGCTTAAACTTCACTATTTGATAAGTTTTAGTATATGTTTGTGCTTGAAACCCTCTCACAACTAAGATAATAAAGGCATCCATTACCMACAAAAGTTCTGTTACCTTCTGTAATACCATCTTTCCCTCTCTCCCTCAATATTCCTGTATACTAATTCGTTTTTCAATGATCTCTAACCATTGATCTGCATTTTGTCAGTACATATTAGTTTACGGGTTTTTAGAATTTTGTATAAATGTGATCATATACTATGTATGTTTCCAGTTTCTTTTCAAAAGCATTTTGAGATACATATTGTAGCATTATGGATGGTTTATTTTTCCATGTTGCTGAGTGGCTTTCCATTGTGTAGATATATTACAACTTATCCATTTGCCTCTTGTAAGTTCATTGTTTCTAGGGTTTGGATAATTTAAATAAAGTTGCTATGAACATTTATTTATATGCTTTTGTGTGGACAACAAGTGCTTTCATTTTTCTCAGATAAGAACTCAGAAGTGAAATTGTTAAATTACTGGGTCATATCAAATTGGGTAGATTTCCTTTTTTTTTTCTAGTTTTTTTTCTTTTTTTTTTTTAATTGAGAATGCATTTGTTTATTTTTTTACAGAATTTTTTTTGTAGATTTTTTAAAAAATGAATAACTGTGGAATGGATAATAATACTTTTAAAGATTTTTCAAATTGATTTTTCAAAATAATGACAGCAGAATGCATTACAATTCTTATTACACATATAGAGCACAATTTTTCATATCTCTGGTTATATATAAGTATGTTCACACCAATCCATGTCTTCATACATGTACTTTGAATAATGATGTCAAAGTTTTTAGAAATCCTTGTATAAAATTT